CAGAGAGGCCTGCAACGGGGGTGTCGACGATAAGATCGTGATCGATGGTGTACCAGAGATCGATATTTCCAGCGTAGACGGATTTCACCGCTGGAACCAGGGACCGCACGATTTTTGGATTGTAAGACTCCAGGTTTCAAGAGGTTTGTATGGTATCGGGCAGTTTTGAGGGGATTTGCTCGGGACGAACTGGTGTCTCTGGAAAATTTGTTGTTATGGTACCTGTAAAATTTAATGGTGCAACAAGTGGAATATAATTATTTTAAATAGTACGTGGAGGTGAAATTTTGGGAAGATTTATTTGAGATATTATGATTATAAGAAATTATGGATCGAAGGGTTTAGAGATGAACTGGGAAATTTGTAGTGGTGGGAAGCAGATAATAGTGTAACAAATGGAAAATAATTATTTAAAATAATATGTGATACTGAAATTTTTAGGAAGACTTGTTTGAGATATTGTGATTAAAAGAAACGATGGATTGAAGAGTTTGGAAATGAACAGGTGCCTCTGAAAGATTTTTAGTGGTGAAAAGTAATTATTAAAGCAGTACGTCGTAATGAAGTTTTTCAGAACATTTATTTGAGATACTGTGTAGTCAAGCGGAATTACAGATTGAATAATTTAGAGCTGAACAAGTGATGGGAAGTAATGGATAGGAGATTTAATCGTGTAACAAGTGAAATATAATTATTCAGAACAGCGTTATTTTTTCCGAATGAAAACTCGAGTGATTATTACCATCGTTATTTTCTAGTTAGCTATTAATTTTCGCTGCTTGAGGATTTCTAGAAATCTTCGGATCACTGTAACGTCTAATCAAGTGTAATTCATACAACTGACAACGTGTTAAGATTACTCATACGTAAGAGTTATTGGTCTTAAGGAAGATCTAATTATACGTAGAAAAGTATAAGTTTCATTTCGAGGAATATTAATATCCCCGTAATACCAGCGTTCAGCGTTCATTAATTCTTCCATGTGACGCTCGTATATTATTTCAATTTGTCAAAATCTTCTTTCACTTCTAAAACCATTAGCCCTTTACCACGTAATATCGTATTATACTCGAGACGAGAATTACAGTGTAGATACCACACAGACAGGTTGCATTCACTTCACAGCGCAATTTTAATTGTAACTTCGATATCAATTTGTTAGAGTGAGAAGAAGTGCAAGTTTGTTTAATTAATTTCTTTCACTTTCCATATTATACTGTTCTATCTGTTCTACGGCAAAAATAAACGGCAAACTTGTGACTGCACGCCTAGAAAATAATTAAAAAACAAAAATGTGAGCGTTAAGGAGTTAAATTGTTGAAGAAACTCACCATATACCCTGTGTCCTCTTTGATACATCGAACAGAAAATCGCGAAATCTTCGAGGCAAAGTGTGTTCAACCCCTTTTTTCTCTCCTCTGTTCCTCGAACCTCTTCGTTGGCAAATTGCAAACAGAAAGAGTTTTCGAGCGAAACTCGGGCAGAGATCTGAGAGAGTCGGTGCGTCCCCCATGGCGATCAGACGGTACGCAAGGAGTCTCTCTTACACGCGAATGTGGGATGAATGGAAATACGGGTACTTGAGTAAACTTAAATTACATTTCATTCATGCAGGAAAAGCCAGACACGCGGGAGTCGGCCTTCCGGCTCGTCGTCGCGCACGTAGAAAGAGCCAGAGAGGCTCCTGCGTAATAATGGCTGGCCTATAATGTGTATTATCCCGACATCCTGCGGCGTCTCCTTTCGCGTGCAAGCTTTTCCCTAGCCTTGCGACAGCCACGCTAATCGGACGATGTTTCAACGATTTTTCCCAGCCCCCCAAAGACGCACACTTTATCCTTCGATTGTGGTATATGTTACGCAAATCCGCGTCGAAAAGTCGAGAATTACGACGCTGTTAAGTATAAGTGCTTACGCGCGGTGAAATCTGCGTTTCGATGGCTTTATCGAGGAGGATGATCGTGTAACCGGTGTTACTCGGCCTTCGAAGCGCAATCTTCACTTCGATTCGCGGCGATACTCGTGTGATCGTGTCGCAATCCTTTCGTCTGTTGTGCAGATTATGATTTAGAAAACTGAGAAGTTGTTGAAAGGTTTTGAGCGAGGAGATTAAGAGTTACATAAAGTCTTTCGTAATTTCTGCTAGATTCGTGAACTTTTGTATGAATTTTATTTGAAGAATATCGTTAACAAGAATTTTCACCGAATTTTTAACTACGAATATTAAAAAAATTCTCGGTATTATTCTCGAACGATCTATAATTCCGTATTTCGCAGTCACGAGTGTAAAATGCAAGAGTAGTTTCGAGTAGTGTGACGGCATGGCGAATAAATAAGGCTTCCATGCAACAGTACTCGATTTAGCCTAAAGTGTATCGTCGGTGAAAGTGGACGTCCTTTACGAAACACGAATTCTGGAAACCACTGCAGGCTTTAATCGCGAGCCATCGAGCCGTCGTTTCAATGGGGGAGTGTATGGTGTATACAGGGGACAGGAAGGGGGTAAAAATCGGTGAAGAGGAATCATGGCTGGATGCACTCCCTCCCTATGTTCACGCACTTTTACCGCCGGCCAGCATCGGCACTGGTTCTGCGTTTTTCGAGGGGGAACCGACGACCTGTTGAGCCCGTTGTCCTACCGAAGAGAGTGAATCGTTCCAAACATTGTAGAAACTTCAATAATTCTTCCACAGATTTCAGTGTACTGCAAGCAACGAAAAGAGAAATATTAATTTATAGTAACCTATAAAATTTATAATACTTGCAGCATCTCTTTTGTACCGTCGATATACTTCCTGACTTTATTTTTCAGTGTACTACTAAAGTACACTATGAAAATTGCGCAACAATTTGAGATTCTCAGGTAAAACGTAGAAGTCAACTTCTAAATTTCCACGTAGGTATCTATAATAGGAAAAGGGGCTGGCAAATGGAGCATTGAAAATATCTTTCACTTCATTTGATAACAGCATTGAAGTCGCGATGAATTACAGACTCGCAATTTCTACTTCAGACCCCTTCTTAAACATGAAATCCACTGTACTTCGACAGCAGATGAATTATTATTCCTTCTTCTGCGTTAGTAGTGGTAAGAGTTTTACTACGAACTTCACTTTGCGAGCCTCGAAGACTTCGCCATTCGCGGTTTGCACTTTCACGCGGCCAGCAATTTTCCCCGACAGAAAGGATTTTTCTCCCTCCACGTTGAGGAGGCCTGCGTGAAAATCGAAGGAACCCGCGAAACAATATACTTTCCTGCGCCACGTCACGCTGCTCCACTTTCCCTTCTGTCTTTTCCTTTTAATGACACTCATCGGGATCATTTGTAATGATCGGTAGCCGACGCTCGACAACGAGAAATTACAATTTACATAATGCCGGGAGGCGCAACGCGGGGAGGAAAACACGAGCGCGTATAAAAAGAGAAAATGAAATGTCGTGCGACTGGCAGTTTCGACCAATGGGACGTCCAAGGATGACAAAGCTCGCGACGATCGCGATCGCCCTTCTAGTTTGCAGCGTCCCGCGATCCAAAGGGATCGATCCACGGAGACTGAGCGACAGGAGAGCAGCGCCGGCAGGTGAACGATACGCGACGAGAATCTTTTACGTGAGATTGTTATTGGGGGAATTTGAGAGATTTTCTATTCGTCTTTCTCTTTGGAGTGTTTGTAATTTCTATGTTACTGGTATAAGTAATTAGATTAACATTTGACGGAGTGGTATGAAATTTTGGATCTCGGATCATTCGCAAATTGATCGCTCAAGTGATTACTTGGGTGCTGAAAAATTCTGAGTTTCCTCGTGTTAATTTAAACTTTAAATTATAAGGTTAATACAATTCTTGGTGTATTCTTGGCAAAACGATTTTTATTCCTCCCTGAAAATTCCGATATTTCACGTTGCAAACATAGTTCGATTCAATGTGTCACTGTTTCATAAAAAGTCAAGCTTTATCAAACTTTTCTTTTGGAAACATAGGAAGAGTTACTAGAATTTCTGGATCGTCGAAATTTCTTTTAGAATATTTATTAAAATAATGGTCCAATTTAAGTAGAATAAAGAAACCAAAATTGGGCTGAGTGATTCTATTCTTGTTGAAAGGTTTATCTTTGTAGATCAGGAAGAATTGAACCATTTGTGTCTTCGTGGTGCTTCAGGTATCTCAGACGATGCTATCACAGGAATTTTCCGAATTATCTCGATGGGAACATCGACCGAGGAGGACGACGAGCAGCTGGTGAAGTTCGTCAAAGAGGAAATCGTGAGGACGGCGCAGAGCATTAAAACACCGTCAGGTTCGATCGAAGCTACCGCCAGAAGAGCTCAAAGACTGGTCACCGAAATGACGGTCGCTTACACGACCGCCATTTACAAGTCGAAGTCCACCGAGGAAGCCAGAACGAACTTTGGGCGTTTTCAAAACACCGTGCAAAAGATCGTTGATTTTATCAAGGACGGCCAATTCGTCATCTGAACACGATCCTTCGTTGAGTATAAAATGTTTTTTATAGAAGACAGGTCTTTATACTAATGTTCCTTCGCAGTAAAGTTAACGAATTTAACAAAGTTAAAAACAATAAAATATGACGAAAATATGTAAAAAAAGAAAGTGACGTCTAGAAAAGTAATTTTTCATTAAAAAATAGAATTTTAATGAAAACCACAGTCTAAGCAGAGAGAAACAATCTTATGTAATATCATTTCAATTTAGTTCTTAAACACATCTTTACGATTCTATAAAAATCCTCTTCTACAACAATTAATCACAAAACGAAAACAAGAAAATGAAAGAATCCATCCTCGACGAAGACACAAAAAGCCTCTTCATATCGATCATCGAGGACGCTCGACGAATCTACCATCGGACACGTGCCAGGAACTTTTACCCTGAGCAGATAGATCATAGGATATATATATATTTTTTTTCCTTCCTCTTCTTCATCAACGACGTCGACGACGACGACTTTCACGATCCATTGTAAAAGCGGCATGGGCTCATAATCTGGCGATGTAGGATCTCCAGGCCGAGCTGACCGGAACTGCGCCTATGCTCTCTCGCCGGAAGTGCCGCTGCCACATGTAGTAATATAAATTATAATGCCCTTACGGTTTTTCCTTTCGCGGATTTGCATTTAAAACACCGGAATGGCATTGTCGTCGGGATCGGCGCGAGCGATTTTCATGGAAATAAGAAAACCTACGGGGGCCACATTCTACGTTTCAACTCTCTCTCTCTCTCTTCTCGGTTGCCTCGTTGCTTTTCGTGTACACGATAAAACGAGCAGAGAGGGCCAAGAGGAGGTGAGGGAACGCGTTGATTTCCATCGAATCGTGCCAAGGCTAATCGGAGATCAAATCTGGAAACGTGGCTCGCTTTCACCAGCTCGGACAATGGCCACTAAAGCTTTTCTAATTCTTTTCGTTTCCTTCTCTTTCTCTCTTTTCCTTCGTGGATTCTTTTTTTCATCTCTTTTTCTGATCTTCCCGCAAACGACCAACGAAGGAGGCTCGGCTCGCGCGCGAACACGCCTAGGATGCGTGAGATATACCAGAGTTTCCTTAATTAGCCGGCATGCTAATCGCGAAAACGCGAACGTGCAACAGGCTAATTAGGAATTTGTTGTTTATAACAGCTGATCGTAATCCTACTCTTGCCTCGCTGTTCCTTTGCAATATCCTTTGATTTTCAAGGACCCCTCTGACGTTGGAGAATCCTGAAGCACTAGGAGATACTTGTGTCAAACGCCAGCAGTTCCCTTTCTGCGAAATTTAAAAAATATCTCTTCCACAATTTTGATAAAACAACAAGAATTATTGATCAATGCTTCCAGATTTAAATCTTATCCAATTGCTTTCAATTTCCAACTAACCAAAAATTGTAAAATAACAACATCGAAGGATACCAAATCACCGTGTTGCTTTCCTCGACGCTAAAACAGCTCGAAAACAGTGCTCGTCGATTTTCAACGTGGATTCCACTGGAAGCAAAGATTCTCCGCGATCACAGAACCGATTTTCCAAGGAATCCCTCGAACCCATGGGTACCGGAGGACACCAAGGACACCCCATAAGAGCGTAGCAGGCTCTCGTCGTGGCCAGCACGAAGTTACGACGGAGTCCGCGGCGTCTTACGTGGATTTTATATGGGAAACTGATTCGACCACGAAGCGGAGGATAATATAACACCGGGGGCATTTTGTTTTGTTGCGCAAGAGGATAATAAACATCGTTCGGGCCCGCTACCGTGCCGACTAGATAGCTACGACGATGAAACAATGCGGCATTG